GGGTAAAGGCCCCGTGAGGAGAGGAGGGGAACACCCTGGAAGACTCCCTGCAGGAGGTGGCAGCTGGACAGGAGGCTGAGACAGACACTGACCTGTCCTAGAGAAGCCAAATGCAGGGTGGGAAAGTGTGAGGAAGGAAGAGTATCAGGAGGTGGTGGCCAGCCAAGGAGGTGTCAGGCCAGAAGCCCAACTATAGGACATGGGGCCAGACCCACCCACTCCAGCTCGGGACAAGGAACTGGAGCCCATTGACCACAGGGTTGGCATGGAACCGTGACCCAGGGAATGCGTGGCTCAGAGAAGCCCGTGGGGTATCCACATCAGCTTGGAGGGCAAGCGGGGAGCCTCAGCCCTGACTTGTGGACCTTGGGCACCTAGTCAGCGGTAGCAGGGCAGAGACAATGGACTGCAGGGCTCCCGCCAGGCCCAAGCTCACTGTCTGACCAAGCGGCTGCCAAGAATGACCCAGAGGTCCCCGGGGAAGGCTGGTGTGCCACCCTGCTGCTTCCTCTGTTCGGGTGGGTGAGCAAGCCCATAGCCCCCACCTACTACAGCACTGCCTGAGCAGGTTCCGCTTGTCAGATGCCAAGGGTGGGCAGAGTCACACCCCATTGGGTTTGAGACCACTCGACCCCACCCTGTGTGACCCAGCCAGCTCACTTCCCTCTCTGGGCCTGAGCTTCCTCATCTGTAAAGTGCAGCCACAGCCCCTGAACCCTCCCTTCCCTGTCCCCAAGCCCCTGGCTCCAAGCCCCATGCAGCTGGTGAGCCCTGGGCACCTCGTCCTGAGGTGCAGCCTGGGGAGCTGCTGGAGCACTGGCCTTGGAGGCTGGGTCTGTGGGGAGCCCCCCTCCCTCTGCAGGCAGGAGGAGGAGGAGAGGCAGGGGGAGCATAACCTGGCAGGCGCCTCTGTCAATACCGCCTTCCTGTTTTGGAGACTGAGCTCGGCTGAGCAAACAGCTTTCAGGGAGGCCCCTCGGTCCCCCTCTGGCCTGTTCTGAGCTGGGACCACCTGGAGGCTGAGTGGAGCGGTGGCAGGTGAGGACAGCCCTGACACCCCTGGCTCACTGAGCCCTGCGCCCCTGGCACCCCAACCCTGCCCCAGCCCCCTCCCCACCCCCTCTGGCCAGCACCGGAAGCCCCCGTGCAATCCTTCCGCTGCTCTGGAAGCTACACTGTCTTGGCGGCCCTGCCTGCTGTATTCTGTGCCCTCACGTGACCTCCTGCAGGAAGAGGGGACGAGCAGCTCCTCAGGCCACACCATCAGACACATGCCCACTTTGCGCGATCCCAGGCCAGGCAGGAGCCCCCCTGAGAGCCCTGCCACTTCTAGAAACTTAACTTTGTTGTGAGGCCGTGGCATTGCTCTGTCCCTCCCCAGCTGTGACGGATAAAAATATCTCCAAACGTGGGTTGCCACATGTCCCCTACCCCAGGACCGGCATCACCCTACTTGGGACCCGCTGGCCCAGTCCCTGCAGGCCAAGAGGCTGGAGCTATCCTGAGGAGAGACAGCCTCAGATGCTGGCCATTCTTGGGTTGGTTTCAGCTTGGTTTGCAGCCCTGAGTCCCTGTCCCCACCTTGCCAGCCAGTCTGATCACCTCCCTGCTGCCCCCCTACACGGCTGAACCTCTGAGCTGCCAGGCCCTGCCCTCTCTGCAAATCCTACTGGCTGGAAGGGAGAAGGGAGACAAAGGCAGACGCAGCCCCGGTCTCATGTCATCTTCCTCCTTTACTGGCCCCAAGGACACAAAGCCAGAGACAGATAGACAGACACTGACAGACAGGCTCAGGGCTGATGAGGAGCTCATAGCTTCTGGAACACGTCTCACTCAGTTCACTTCCTCTTGCCCTCTGCCTTCTGTGGCTCTCTGTTGCCTCCCACATGGCATCCTGAGCTTGGACTGGAGGCTTGTGCTCATCACTCTGGGCTCACCTCCCACGGCGGCTCTCCTCACACCCGTGTGCACAACTTCTCCAGATGTTCCTGAGGCTCCCACATCTGCCTACTGTCTAGCTCTACCTTTCTGAAGTGTCAAGCCCCAGGGCAAATATCACATCTTTCTCTAGAAGCCTTTCAGGAAGCCCCTTCCCCACTCAGCCCTGGCTCACAATGTATTCACAGAGGCGCTGAGCATGTCCATGCCTGGCTCATCCTCCAGCCCTATGCACCTAGGCTTCCCCTCAAGGCTGAGCTCCCTGGGGCCAGAGGCTGGTAAACTCCCCATCTAAATCCCTCCATACCAAGCAGGGCTGGGCCTGGAGAAAACATTTAGGGTGAGTGAAATGGGTTGGGAGGGTGAGGGGCAGACGGACAGTCAGACAGATGAATGGATGACTGGAGTGGGTGGAAGCCTGAGCCCAGTAATGACTCTCAGATATAATAACACTCCTCTTTGCAGATGTCACTGTCATTCTTGGGGGCCTGGGTTACTACCCACCCAAGCCATATCCACCCTGCCCTTAAGAGGACAGAGGAAGCAATACCAGCCCATCTTACAGAGGAAGAGCTTGAGGTCACAGGAGTACCTGTTCCTTAGTAAACAAGGCCTCCTTGGAGCTGACTCTGGCCTCTGCTGCCTCTGCCCAGCCTGGAGCCCCCTCCCACTGGCCCTGGGATCCTGTCCCATTGAGATGGGCATAGGATCATGACTGGGGTGAGGGATTGTGCCTGGTGCCTACTTGTGGCCGCCACACAAGCTGGCCATTCTTGAGGAGACAAAGACCGTTGGGGCTGGGTGGCTCTGGTGTCTGCAGGGTGGGTGTCTGGCCTCTGCAGGACCTCAGTAAGTGGGTCCTGGTAGTCAGGCTCTGTGACTGGGACCTGCAAATCGGATTAGCCCCAACCAGCCCCACAGCCCAGCTGGCCCCAGGGCAGAGTCACAGGAAGAGGCTCAGCTGCCAGGCTTGGGCCTCTGCCCTCCTAGTGTGGACAAATCCATGCCCCAGGGCTGATACCTTCTCTCTGCTGTCCCCTCTGGACCCTAGCAGCTTAAGAGAGGCCCTTAAGGGTACTGGTACTTCCCCCAGCAGGGTGGCCCAGCTCAGTGATGAGCCCTTGACCCACATGGCCTCCAACAGGCCATCTATCCTTTCATCCATCCATCCCCCCATCCATCCCTCCATCCATCCTCCGTCCATCCATCCTCCGTCCATCCATCTATCCGTCCATCCATCCATCCATCCACCTATTCACCCACTCACCTACCTATCTACCCACGTATCCAACTATCTGTCCATTTGTCTGTCTTTCCATTCATCTATCAATCTGTCCATCCCGTCCCCTCCCCATCTATTCAGCCAGTGTTTACTGAGTAGTTCCTTTGTGCCAGGCCCTGACAGAGTGTAAGATGTGTTCTTGTCCTCATGAAGGCAGATGGGTAAACAGGCAGTTACAGCCTCAGGTGGCTGGTACTGATCCAGGGGTGACATAGGGGTTATAGGACTTCCTGGAAGAGGCAGCACTTGACTGGCTTGCAGCATATCCAGGCCAGGGTGCCCTCCTGAGCCTTTCCCAGTCACTGAAGCCAAGTCAGACCGGCCCTAACAAGCCTAGCCACTCTGTCCATGCCAGGGCCCAGGGTCTAGACCCAAGGGTCAGGCTGCCAGTGGGAAGGCGGTTGATTTAAGCCTGCAGAGCACCATTCCAAGCCAGCTCAGTGGGCAGGGCGGGAAGGCGCCAGCCACGTCACCATTACAGCCGAGTAGAATCTTGAGCCCACAGGGAGAGATGGGAACTGGCCCAAGACCACACAGCGTGGGCAGCAGCAGGGGTGCGAGGCCGGCAGGCCATCCGGGACCAAGCGGGCCTTCAATCACAGCAAGAGGTTGCCTATCCCAGCCTTCCAGCGCAACCATGGAGATCACCCCACACCCCTGCCTGGAAGCCATGATACTTAGCTTCCTACCAGGCCCTGTCCCTTGTGTCCTGCCACAGTGACTGCTCACCCACAAGTTTTAGGCTGGGCCACCTAGGGGGTCTGTAGGTACCTGGTGCTCCCTCCTATCAGCTTGGGGCCTGGCATTCCTAGCTTGTCTAGTAACCAGGCCCACATTCCTGCCTGGCTGTGCAGTCAGGGCCTCTACCGTCCCTCTCTGGGCTGGGCTGCGGGCTAGGGGAGGCAGGTTCCCAGGGCACTGAGCGGAACCACTGGACAGAGTGGTGATAGGCCGATGGGCCGCCTCGGATGACTTCCTGCCCAGTTAATGGCTCACCCATTATGTCTCCACAGATCTTCCCAGGACACCACCATGGGAAGATGGCAGCCCAAAGCCAGCCCCAAGGGCTCCAAGGCCAGGAGATCCCAGGCTGAGCCTGTAGGGCAAGGGATCTGGAACTCAGTGGGGATACAACACTGCCCCTGAGCCTTGTAGGGGCCCTGGGGGCCCCGGAAAAGCCACAGGTCCAGGGTGGCTGCCAGGAGCCCCAGCAAGGCTGGCAGAGGGCTGCGCAGAGTGGCCAGAGGCCTGGGAAGTGGGAAAGTAGGTCCCTGGCCAGAAGGCCCTGGGCTGCTACTCTATGATCTGTTACCCATGAGTACCTTCTAAATGAACAATAAGGGCTGAGAATGTAGCTCAGGGTAGGGGACTTGCTTACCACGAGCAAGGCCCTGTGTTCAATTCTCAGCATTGCAAAAAAAAAAGTCACCCTCATACTACAGGTGGGGAAACAGGCTCAGAGAGCAGAGCAAGGTCACAGTCCAAGGTCTGCTGAAAGGTGGCCACTCTGGGATGGGAAGGCAAGAAGCCTGGCTGTGCTCCTGGAATCCTGCCCAGGGCTGGGGCCTGGGACCATCCTCCCTCAGCCCCCTTCCAGGGCCATAGGGTCCCAAGGGGCTTCCCAGCCAACCTGACCTTCCCTCTTTAGCCCCCTCCCAGACCCCCATTTCCTGCCCTGGGCTAAGCACCTCCCTGGAGAGCAGTTTCTGGAGATAGCCTTGGGATCTGGGGGGAAGGGAGTGCCTCAGAGTGGAGCTGGGGCTGGGGAAGGGGCGGGGGTGGCTGGCCAGCCACCCTCCTCCAGTTTTCAGACCTCAAAGAGTCACCACGAAATTCCATTCTCCTGACAGCAAAGAAATAGAATCACTCTTGCGAAGGCCTGCAGCCCCCACAAGAAAGCTGTAGGCTTTGTCCTACTGTTCCCCAAACAGCGGCCACAGCTAGGTTCCCCATTCACCCATGCCTGGCTGCAGGGATCCCTTCGGTACAGATGCTCCCGCTCCGAGCCTCAGCTTGCACTTTGTACAATGGGTGCGTTGCACCCAGTGCCTGGCATTTGAAAGCCACAGTGGCCAGCCAGCCAGGAGCATGAGGGCCTGGGGTTCGAGGGCTTGAGCGAATCCTACCCTCTGATTTAAAGGACTCTGCCAGGTGGTTGTAGGTAGAATGGCTACTCCCTGTTCCCTCTTGGCAGTCTGCAGAATGTTTGGCTCCCAGGGGTGGTCACTGACTCTCCTTGCCCTTGAGTTGAATTCCAAGTCCAGGACACAGATTTTGCAGCCAGGCATCCTTGGGCAGTTGGGGAATAAGGAAGGCTGTAGAAGCAGCAAGAAACAGGGCTGGACTCCCAAAAACTGTGTGGACACTGGGTTAAGACTTTGAATCTACTTGCGAGGGGAAGCTATGGACTTGATCTTTCTGAGCACAGCGAACTGGAGAGGGGTGGATATAACCAGAGCTGCTTGCTACCGCATGGAGAATAAATAGGGCAGGCAGGTTGGGAACAGGGAGATCAGGGTACAGGATGCCAAGTGGTCCAGGAGAGAGATGACTGGGTGGAGGACGCTCGGACTCCAAATGGTCAGGAAGCAGACAGGTGGGGATTGGTGGTGGGGCTGAGGACGTGGGGGCAAAGACACTGAGGCTGAGGCTGGCGCTGGGCTGGCTCCTGGGGAGTCCTCCCCCAAGGCACTGCAGTTATGGGAGTCTCCAGGGTTGGAGTCAGGCTGATGGGGAGGAGTTTATGGCAGGAGGTGAGGCCATGGGAGACTTGTCACTTGGGCACAGCTAGCACCATCTGCTCACAGGCATTTGCCTGCCTGAGGTGGTGTCTGCTAATTACCTGGGACCCTCCGGAAGAGGCCTGGGAACCCTTGCCCCCACCTTACCCTAACACTGAGGGGCTGGGGGCCTCCACAGCAAATGGGCCAGAGCCTCTCCGTGGGGGTAGGAGGGGGTGGTGGGCCAGATGTCTATTAAGGAAGTCTTTGTAGAGCTCTACTATGGTCCAGGGCCGTCCCAGACCTCTCAGGCCAGGATTCGAGGAGGTCGCGCTGTCCTGCCTCTTTGACATGCAGAGGAGGGCCCATAACGCAGAAAAGGGATGAGTCTGGACATAAAGGGGCCAGCGGGCAGAACTGGTGGGGACCCAACCCTGGGAGGGATGGTGGGTGCACCGGGCCTCCTTAGTGCGGGCACAGGACCTCGGCGCAGCAGAGCAAAGAGCCACCCCCAGCTGCTCTCCCGGAAGACGCTCAGAGAAGGGGGCTCAGACCCTGTGCCCGCTCCGGGGAACCCCGGGCCACTTCCGGCCCGTAGCCCCTCACCCTCCCTCCAGGCGCGCATTCCTGCCGCCTCCGCTCGTGCAGGGGGTCGGACCGGCCCGTGGGAAGGGCTGGGGTTGGGGCCGCGTGCCGGGAAGGCGGGGCGGAGCGGCGCACAGCTGGGTCACATCTGGCCGCAGAGCGGAGGGACCAAATGGGACCGCAGGCGGCCTTTCATCCCGCAAGGGATGGGGCGGCCTTAGTTTCTCCTCGCCACTGGGCGCTTAAGGACTTCGGGGGATGTCTCCCATAGCCAGGCCCAAGGAAGTAGTTAGCCGGGAGAAGGGTTGAGGTTGGTACAGGTGTTCTCGCTGGAACGAGGGGACGATCCAGAGGCGGCTTCTGTCTGTCCAGTCGCCTTGTCCCCAGAGGAGGAAGCTGGGCTCGGGAGGGAAGTCAGGACATCCCCTGCGGGCGCCCGAGCCAGAGCTGAGTCCAGGCACCCAGGCCCAAGCGCGGAGGGCGCGCCCTTGCGCGTGCCGGACGCCGAGTGCAGCCCAGGCCCGCGCTGGTCAGCCTAGGTGTCCCCTTTTGGCGCATCCGGCACGGGCCGACCCAAGCCCCAAGCACCCCTCCCACCCCGAGGGGCTCGCGGAGATGACCCTGGTCAGGGCGGGGCGTGCACGTGTGCCGGGGGGAGGGGCGACCATGGTTCCCAGACCCCCGCCGCGGACCCACGTGGGTGCTTCCCCGCCCCTTGAGGACCAGAGCCAATCGGCATGAGGGGGCGTGGCCTGGAGCGGGGGTTTAAGAGCGTCAGACTCTGGTGGCGCGAGGTTAGACGGCGCAGGACCCAGAACCCGGGTACTGTGTTGTGCCGGCCGCGCCCACCATGCTCAAGCGCTGCGGCCGGCGCCTACTGCTAGGGCTAGCGGGCGCGCTGCTCGCTTGCCTTCTAGTGCTCACGGCTGACCCGCCACCGCCTCCTGTGCCCGCCGAGCGCGGCCGGCGCGCGCTGCACAGCTTGGTGCCCCCAGCTCCTGGTTTGGGGGCGGCAGCAGCGCCTCGAGTGCTCGCCCGCGAGGTGCATAGCCTGTCCGAGTACTTCAGCCTGCTGACTCGCGCGCGCAGGGAGACGGGCCCTCTGCCCGGTGGCGCCCCCCGTCCTGCCGAAGGCCACCCGCGGACCCTGGCCGAGCCGCTGGTTCCCCGCGATGTCTTCATCGCTGTCAAGACCACCAGGAAGTTTCACCGCGCGCGCCTAGACCTGTTGCTGGAGACCTGGATCTCGCGCCACAAGGAGATGGTGAGTCCGGGAGGTCTAGCCAGGCAGGTGGAGTGGGGCGCGCCGTCTTGTACCGCGGGGGGCAGCTACATCCCTGTCACCTACCTAGGGGACCGGCGACGCCGATCCAGCCCCCTCGAGCCCTGTTTCCTTCCTGGAGGCCACTTTCCGTACAGTTGTGGGACTGTTGCGGGGTGGGGCACCTCTGCTAGACTGGGTGGCTGCACCGACCCTACAGCAGCCTCAGAGTTTGGGGTTGGTTCTTGTGATGTTGTTCTCCAAACTACAGCGAGCAATGGGCCTTAATTTTCCCCGAAACGTCCCCTATCATATTCTGCTCCAGCCCATTAAGGGACATCCCCCTGGGGCACCGACCCCTCCCAGGGAGAAGGGCACCTGCCTTGGAAGTGAGGGGAGGGCATAGGACCCCTGGGCCCGAGACTGGGTCCCTTGCTCATTTCAGTTTGCTGTGGTAGGGGTCAAGTCACTGTTTGTTGGTGGGCCCTGGAAAGTGCATCCTGAAAGAAAGATACTGGGTACTGGGGTCCTGGGGTACTGGGGATCTGTGAGATCCTTTCCCCTCATGCTGGATTCCCTGAGGCCTCGATCTTTGCGCTTCACTCCCCAGTTGGGCATCACGTTCCTAGACATAATGAAGACACACCCCACTTTGAAATCTCCCCTGAGGCTACAGCAAGACGGTTAGGCTGGGGCGGGTAGGGGCAGAGGGTGGGGCCTGCAGGGGCAGTGGGGAAGCAGCCCCAGGTCGGGAGGCTCGCGGGTATCTAGGGTGAGAATGGGAGTACAGAGAAGACCCCACATCCCTAACCCCTGTTCCAGGACCCAAGACCCAGGGGTTCTGGCCTCACTGAACTCCGTTTGTGGCAAAGGGGGGTTGGGATACAAGGCCCTGCTGATTTCAGGATGGGGCTGGGGAGCAGTGTCCTGGCTGGAGGAGGTCTGGGAACCCCATGGCAGCCTCCTGGGAACCAGGCATCCCTTTCCCAGGGGCTCAGGAGGCCGGCAGGAGGGGGTGGCAGGGGGCCATGGGTTTTGTTTGGCGACCGGGCCGTTAGGATTCCCAGCGCTGGGCGGCTCTCACGCTGGCCCCATGGGCAAGGTAACAAAGCCCCTTTCTCCGGCGAGAAAGGCGTCAGGCCTCTTGTGTGCAGCTCTCTGCTCCATGGGAACCGCCGCTGCCGTGCTGGCCACTCAGGTTGCCTGGCGATGAGGGGGCCTTCCCCCCCACCCCGACAACTCTTGTGGGGCTCCATCCCTGAGCCAGGGACGCCCCCTCCCCCAGCACTTGGTCTTTCTGCGGTGTGACCTAGGGCAACATTCAACCCTCTCTGGACTGCCACCAGCCAGCTGTGAGCACCTCTCATCATGGAGTTTGGAACTTTTTCCTGCAGAGAGGACATGGTCAGGGGGTCTTAGTTGTCTCAGCTGTGTCGGGTAATCTTGAGCAAACCTAGGGCCTCTCTGACTCTCAGCTTTTTAATCTCTGCCATGGAGGAAACATTGCCTTCCCAACAGGGTTTTGTAGAAAGAGGGCTGGTAAAACCTGGAGGCCTCAGGTGCATCCAGTAGGTGCTCAGAGTTGGGGCCATCACTGAACTGGGCCCCGATGACCCTATTGAAGAGTTGCCCCATTAGAAGAGGCCGAATCTGTTTGCACCATCGGCTCAGATGCACCCAGCAAGCGCAGCCCCTCTTGTATGTTGTGGGCAGGGGTCTTTGAAACTTATAGCACAGGGCCTACTTTCCTAGCCTGTGCAGTGCAACTAAACGTAGTCTCAGTGGGGGACACTGGAGAGGCTGTGAGATCCAATGGGCATCTGCCTGCAGGAGGGGGTGAGAGGGCTTCCTGGAGGAGGTGCCCGCTGCACCCTACTGAGTCAGGAGTGCCTTGGAAGGGCGATCTGGGCATCTGGCATGAGCCCCAGACCCCAGGGGCTGTTCAGGAAGCTTCCAACCACTGGAGAGGTGGGGGTTGGGGGGCTGGTCAGCAGGGCCTTGAGGTCAGGGTGAAGAGCCTGGCTCCAGGCCTACTGCTCCTCCCCCACCTCCCAGGAGCACGCCAGGCAGCAGCGGCTGCCACCACAGCAGCCACAATGGTTGGGGGAGAACTTGGCATCCTGTGTTTCTTTGAATCAAGGCTCTAGGAACAATGCTGCTTCCTGTGGGTGTCCCCCCCGCCGGGCCTCGTCCAGTACTGCTGCCCTCACTACCCTGATTGTCCTCCTTCGGGAAGCTGGGGGGTGATTGGGGGATGCAGGTTCCTAGGAGGCCTCAAGGTGTGACCATGGCCCTGGTTTCCCCGCTTGTATGCTTGGGGTGGTGATGGTGATGGCTGGGGAAAGGACAATCTGTCTTCAGCACTTTGCTCCACATGAATGAGCACTGTTGAGCCCATTTGCAGAGGAGGAAACTGAGTCTGGGCGAAGTAGGAGGAGGGTGGCCCGTGGCTGCAGCCCCTGCTCTTTTTCTCCTGGTAGCTATGTTGGGGAGATAGAGGCTGAGCACCGGGGCCCTCTAAGCGGTTCTCCAGGAGGCCTCCCTGCTCCCGAGCTGAACAAAGGTGACTTTAATCTCCTGTAGCCCTGGGCTGGGTTTTTAGGATACCACCAAAGCGAGGGAGAACAAGCCTCGCTTGATCTCATTAAGAAAGCATTTTCCTTTTAATCCAGCAGTTCACCGGAGCGTCTGCATGGGCCAGCCCGCTCCGCCTCCCACGGCATTCCTGGGCTGGGGTGCTGGGGCACGGGTTGGGGGCTGGGTGCGAGTCTGTGCCCGTCCAGGGTGTCTGCCGGGCCCTGGAAGGGGAGGTTGGGTTCGTGGAGAGGATATAGACGGCATCAGTACATCCTCTAGCTTGGAGCCTGCAACCTACACCCCAGGAGCTTCATTCGAGGGTGTGCCTGGGTCTGGGGTCCTGCTGGGCCAGAGCTGGGACTGCCCAGCTGTGTCGGATTGCTGCCTTCTGGCCTGTAGGGGTCCCTGATCACTAGGGGGGCGATACACTCCTGCCCCACAAGTGCTGGGGCCTCCCATGGACCTGTGTGTAGACAAAAGGAAACTAAGGCCGGGTGGGTATGGGGGAACCCCGCCACCGTCTGCTCTGAGCACCCCCACCCGCCCCAGGCTCGCGCTCAGTCCTGCGGGGGCGAGGCGGGCGGCACGCGCTGGGCGGGCCGGCAGAGGGAAGGCACATACCTCCCCGTGTGCTGACGGGCCCAGGCGGGCACCGGCAGCTCCTCACTCCACCCCAGCGGCCCCCTCCCCTTCCGTCCACAGAGCAATCCTGGCGGGGTGGCAGGATGGCGGGGTGCCGGCGCAGGTGGAGCTCTGATTTGGCCTTGGGCAGGGCACAGTCCTCTGCAGTGAGCCATTCCCTTGCCTGAACTGCAGGAGGGGTCTGGGCCCCTCATCGGGGACTGGGGACCTGAGCCTTTCCCTGCCACCGCTGCACTGACCAACACCATCTCACAGAACCTTGGGGTCAGCTGTGGCGGAGGATGACGGGTCACACTGGTCTCACACTGGGGGTGAGCTTAACCCACAGTCTTGGGCTGCAGCATCGGTGGCCACACCCCTGCCCGAGGACCTCTTGCCCAGCCTGGCCCAGTTAACCAGGCCAGCTGTATGGTAATGACGGCATGGCCACTCCTGCTTAACTCTCCGAGTTAAGGCCGTCCGGCACCCCTCACCACTCAGTCCAGGACAAAGCCAGCCGACAATGCCTGGTGATTCATCCTCCCTCTGGGCCCTTTGTCTGCCAGGGCTTGGCAGACACCCAGCAAAGGCCTTTGTCCCCGAACCAAGTGACTGAGACATGGCTTCCCAAAGCTCTTGCCTGTCCCCTGCCCCCTCCCGTGGCCCTGAAGCCCACAGACGGGCACTGTGTCAATAAGGGTGTGTGCCACCAGGTGCGCAGGGCGGGCTGGCTAGGAGCCGTTTACGGTGGGTGGGTGGGGTGCCCCACCTGCCTCGTGCCTCCCAGCTGCCTAGGTGACCTTGGGCCCAGCTGTCGAGGTTACAGAGTGAGGCCCCCCACCCAGCTGCCACTCACCCTGGGCGCTCGAACCCTGATTCTCTCAGGTGGCAAAAGCAGTGGGGGTGTGGGAGGCAGGTAAGTGTGGGTGGGAGGGACTGTCCAGAGCTGTAGCTGCCAAACTCCGGGGACCCAGCACTGCCCCCCGCTGCCACCATGGCCTAGGGTCAGAGACACCTAGCTGCAGCTCAGGGTCGTGTCTCTCCTTCCAGACATTCATCTTCACGGACGGGGAGGATGAAGTGTTGGCCAGGCACACGGGTGAGCCCTGGGCTTGCGGGGCAGGGGGGGCGCGCCTTCCTTGAGAGCAAACGTCCCTCCTTCCTCTTCTACAGGGGCCAAGAGAGGTCAGGGGCCGAGGGGCTAGGAGGGCAGTTTACTCAAGGGTTTGCTCAACGCTCCGCCCCACCACTCGGGGCCCCCGATTCTCATGCAAACGAGGCCCTTTCAGCCCCCAAGGTCCCTTTGAGCCAGGCCAGCGGCAACAGGTGGCGGGTGCTGGGAAAAAGCTGGCTGAATGGGCAGGGGCGGGGCGCCCTGGGGAGGGGATGGGCTGAGGGAGGGTCCAAGGCTTCAGACTTGCGTTAGGGTGAGGGGGGTACCTAGGGGGCCCTACTGGTGCCCAGGCCCTCATAGCACCCCCACCCCGCAGGCAACGTGATCAACACCAACTGCTCAGCTGCCCACAGCCGCCAGGCGCTGTCCTGCAAGATGGCTGTGGAGTATGACCACTTCATTGAGTCCGGGAGGAAGTGAGTTGGTCCCAGGAGCTCCCCAGCCCTGCCCACACCCTGCCGGCACCTTTCCCTGCCTGAAGGTACCCTTCTCATGGCCCTGCCTTGCCCTCAGATGGTTCTGCCATGTGGACGATGACAACTATGTCAACTTGCGGGCCCTGCTGCGGCTGCTGGCCAGCTACCCGCACACCCAGGACATCTACATCGGCAAGCCCAGCCTGGACCGGCCCATCCAGGCCACCGAGCGCGTCAGCGAGAACAGGGTGGTGAGTTCCATGCACCTGGGGTGGGTGGGGGCTGGTGACTGTCGTGCCCTGCAGCTTCATGACATCTTCCTGTCCCCAGCGTCCTGTCCACTTCTGGTTTGCCACTGGTGGGGCTGGCTTCTGCATCAGCCGAGGGCTGGCGCTGAAAATGAGCCCGTGGGCCAGGTAAGTGTCTAGGTCTCGGGGTCCCGCGTGCCCTGTGGGACTGCAGGCCTGCTTTGCTTAGTCTGCCCCACAGCGGGGTCCCAGGCTTGTGTGTTGGCTCTGCCTGCCTCCTGCCGGGTCCTTCCCCAGGCTTCCAAGTCAGCTGCACTCAACAGCCGCTTCCTCCACAGCCGCCCTGCTCAGCACAGGCACCAGGGTCAGTAGCACCCCCTGTGCCATTGGACAGGGCGCCTTCTTGTGTTAGAAACTCCGGTACACACTCAGAACTGGGGAGCAGCAGAGCTGGTGTGGAGGAGGAAGTGGCACTGGGGCAGGGGACACAGCATGTGCTTAACCCTGCCCCTAGGCACAACTGCTTCTCCGCCAGTCTGTGCAGCCCTGCCCAGGCCCCCCGCGGGCAGCTGCCCCAGCTCACTGTCCCCGCCTTCCCTCCTGCAGCGGTGGCCACTTCATGAGCACTGCAGAGCGCATCCGGCTGCCAGACGACTGCACTGTGGGCTACATTGTAGAAGCTCTGCTGGGCGTGCCCCTCATCCGCAGTGGCCTCTTCCACTCGCACCTGGAGAACCTGCAACAGGTGCCTGCCTCCGAGCTCCACGAGCAGGTGCGTCGTCCCTGGGCCCGGCCAGGACTGAATGAGCACAGGAAGAGCTGAGCATAGAACCAGGAGGGACTCCGGGGTGAGGAGTGAGGGGGTAGAGCTCTGCACTGACCAACACCATCTCACAGAACCTTGGGGGTCAGCTATGGCGGAGGGTGACGGGCCACACTGGTGTTGGATCACTACCTTAAAGAAGAGGTCAAGCCAGGTGGGGTGGTGTGTGACTGTAATCCCAGCAGTCTGGGAGGCTGAAGCAGGAGTGTATAGATCACGAGTTTGAACCCACCCTGAGCAATTTAGTGACTTAGGAAGACCCTGTCTCAAAATAAAACTCAGTAAAGGCCGGGTGATGTAGCTCAGTGCTAACTAAGGTGTTGGGTTCAATCCCCAGTACCACAGAAAAAGTGAATCAAGGGGAAGGTCAGGAGGAGATTCTCCACCAGTGCCATCCTCCCATCCTTCATCTTTGGGCGAACCCACCTGCTCTGTGTCTTTCGCTCGGAGTCAGTAGCTAGTCCCTTGCTCACAGCTGCAGCCCTGTGACTTCATTCCTGGGCTTCTTGGAGCAGGCGTCCTCAGTCAGGGGGATCCCGTCCAGGGCCCAGCCACAGCCAGGCCCCTCCAGCATTACCTGACCCTTCCCCCCACCGCAGGTGACCCTGAGCTATGGCATGTTTGAAAACAAGCGGAATGCTGTCCATGTGAAGGGCCCCTTCTCGGTGGAGGCTGACCCATCCAGGTGAGGAAACTGAGGCATCGGCAGGACTGCAGCTGGTGTCTTTGGCTCTTTTCTTGGGGGGTGGGTGAGCCTCCTTGGGTGCTGCAGGACTGCAAGTGGCGCCTGGCACCCTGCCCTGCATGGACCAGCCCTCCGCTCTGTCCCTGCAGGTTCCGCTCCATCCACTGCCACCTGTACCCGGACACACCCTGGTGTCCCCGCACCGCCATCTTCTAGCAGCCATGGCTGAGATCCCTGTCCCTGGGTGCCCCTGGTATCCAAAGGGCCCAGGGACCCCTGTTGTGCTGCCCTGGCCTTGGCCCTAAGGCTCCCCCAGGGCCCTGTGTGTATGTCACTTGCCCACTGGGCAGCGGGCTGCTGGGCAGTTCCGCTCCTCCAGGAGCTGGCAGGAGGACCCCACACCCTGTGGTCCCTCTGTAGGCAGCTCTCTGTTGTTTTAAGTTTTGGATCTCTGTTGCTCAGGGCCTCTCTGCAGGGATGTGGGTGCCCCTCTGTGCCCCTGGAGCCCTGAGCTTGGGGCAGGGGAAGCTGGTTTGGGGGTGAGAGACCTGTGCCCCTCCTCCTGGGACTTCTGGCACCGTGTGTGGCTCTGAGTAACAGTAGCCGCCGCCCCATCCCAGTGATCCCAGGATTCCCCAGTGGTTGTGCAGCTAGTGAACAACCCTCTTGGGTTGGGGGTTTTCCCAGCCCCCTAGATCCTGCCTTTGTCTCCCCCCGACTGGGGGAGTCAGAGCTGAGCATTTTATCTCCTCTCCAAAGTAGAGAGAATGTCGCCCACAGTGGGTGTGTCTGTAAATATTGTGACAGTATTTTTTTACTGTGCTGTTTTTGAAAGGGGGTGGGTAAAAAGGGGGGGTTGTGTGTTGTTTTCAGGGGTGGGTGGGGAGGGTCTTATTTTATGTTTTCTGTGGATCAGAAAAAGCAGAAGCCAAACTTGGGATCCCGTTTGTTTGCAAAGCTGACCTGGGAATGTCTAACCTGCTCTGTATTTATGTGTTCCAGTATCTGGAATCCCTTTCTCTTCCTGCCTCCAGACCACCTGGCTCAGTGTGGCTCACCTGGTCTGCGGGGTGTGTCCTGTATTCTGTGTTCTCTTTGCAAAGACATAGCTAGGAAAGCGGATCATAAGGGAGAAACTCTCAGGGAATTGGAGTATTGTTGCTATGGTGACGCCCTTTTGCTGTGAATAAAGGTGCTCTTTGCAGCAACCCGGCTCTTGGTCCTGACTTGAAGTTGGGCCTGAGTCCCAGGCCCATCATGTTGGTTCCAGAGGGCCAAGGGATGAGGGAAGGGGAGAACTGGTCTGCTCCATGGAGAGCAGGCAAATAGAAAATGCTGCAAGCCCACCGGGTGAGGTGGTGCACCCTTGTAACCCCAGCACTCTGGGAGGTTGAGGGGGGATTGCAATTTCAAGCCCAGCCTGGGCAATTTATTGAGATCCTGTCTCAAAAAATAAAAAGGTCTGAGGATGTAGCTCAATGCAAAGTTCCTGGGTTCAACCTCCAGGACCCCAAACAACAAGATCGTATAAGCCAACTATTTTGGAAGGAAACTTCAGGTTAAAATATCTGCTGATGGTGCACGCCTGTAATCCCAACATTCAGAAGGCTGAGGCAGGAAGATTGCTGTGAGTTTGAGGCCGGTCTGCACTACCTAGCGAGACCCTGTCTCTAAATAAATATCTGCTGGCTGGGGCCTGAGAGGAGTGGCCAGCCCAGAGCAGTGTAGTCGCTGGGGGGCAGGCATCAGGGGCTACAGACCAGCAAGGGAGCAGCCTTAGGCTCTGAAGGTCATTCCCTCCTATAAGAGCATCAGTGACTACTATAGATGAGCCTGGCACCTCCTAACCACCTTCATCCCCATTCCAAACCCACAGAGTCCATTCTACAGATGGGGAAACTGAGGCCCAGAGCAGATAATGCCCAAGGTCAGGCATTGAAGCTGCTGCTGATTTTTTTTTTTTTGCTGCTAAGATTTAGACCCAACTTCTCCTGTCATGGGGAGCTTGGAGGGCCCTCCCAGGCTGGCAGTGCCCAAATGTCCACTGCCTGGCTGGACCTGCTTTCACCTTCACAAGTCCCAGAAACTGGGGCAAGGGTCCAGACTCCTCATCTAAGGGCAGCAGCGCAGCAAGGGCCTTGCTCAAAGCCAGCGTTTGAGGTCCACCTAGCCTGCAGTCGGGGAATCCCCGCCCCACCCCCTTCCTGCTGCCTCACTTCCTCCTCTGCAGACTGAGCTGCCCCCTTCCCCACCGTCTGCTCCCCCTCCCCCCCACAGGCACTTGCTCTGGCCCGGCTGCTCCGGGGTCCCCCTTTCTACTCTGCTTCTGTGGTTCACTGTTACAGGCAGAGCTCCCCCTCCCTGACACACTGGACCCTCACTCGCCTCTCCCCCTTCCCCGCCAGACACTCGCCCATGGGCACAGCACCGCACCAGGCTCCCTTCCTCTTAGCCTCTGCTGGCGGCTGCCTTGGCTGGGGCCTGACCATGGAGAGGCCTGACTCAGCAGCAGGGCGTGGTTTCCAAAGGCCGTGGCACTGTGGGGTGTGGCCAGCGGCTAGGTCAGAGTGGGGGGAAAGCACAGCCCCTCACCCCCGTGTGTCCTGGCCTCCGTTGTGGGGGTGCCCCCAGACTGCTGCTGTTGTCCCTGGTGTCAGCAGGGTGCAGGGCCTGGTAGAGACAGTGGCCATGTACTCTTGGATGGTGCAGGATGGTCTTCTGGACGAGGAAGTTGACACTTGGGTGGGTGGGGGTGTCGCAGCGGAACAGGCTGTGGGCACAGCCCAGGGGCCTCCTTCCTGCCTGGGTGAGTCAGAGGCGGGGTGCTCTCCGCTTGGTCCCCTACGCTGCCTCAGCAGCTGCCCCCAGTGTCCCTGAAAGAGCTGTAGACAGGAGGGGGCAGGGAAGCAAGGTGTGGCAGGGCATAGTGGCTGGGACAGCTGTGTGGACACCTGGGACAGGTGGGCTGTCTTTTAGTACTGGGACCACCTGTCCATCATCACAGCTGGCCAGATGATCTGAAATGGGAACAGCAGTGTGGGGGTGCCCTGCCCTGCCCTCCCTGGCCTGGGCCTGTACTTGGTGAGGAAAGGTCCTGGGAGGGACACAGACCAGCAGCCTCTGGCCCCTCCTGTCCCAAGGAGAAGCTGAGCAGGGAAGTGGCTCCCCCAGAAGGGGAAGCAGGTTGAGGGGGGCCCTAAGGCAGCAGGTGCCTGGTTCCTCCTAACCCCGCAGGCAGTGAGGAAGGGGTTTCTGAGCCACCCAGGCAGAAGAGGGACCGCCTCTCCCCACAGGCAGGTTCTGAGGATGGCTCCCCACCCCCTCACGTACGCTGGCATCATCCTGCCAACCCACACCCAGGCTGGGGCCGGTGAGGAGGAGTCCCGGCTGGTTCCTTCCAAAACTGCCCATCATTTGTGAAACTCAAAAGTAAAACCACAGGTTGCTGGGTCCTCAGGGAGGGGGCAAGACTCAGCCCTCAGCCCCACCCCAGCTTCCGCTTTCCAGGTGAGTTGGGGAAGGCGGTGCAGTGCCTGACAGGGCTGAGCCGGGTCTGGGATACATGGACTCCCACTGGGGTCCCCAGAGCTGACATCCCGGAAGAGGCACTTTCTGGCTGCAGTGGGAAGGCTTTGTAAAGTGGGGAGAGCTGGACGTTCCCCTTGGCATGGACCAGGGAAAAGTGTAGAGGGGGGACTGGCTGGAGGACTGAAGCCTAGGAGGCAGTGTGGGCGGTGGAGTCGGGATCCCAGATCGGCCCACCACACCTGGTCCCCCCACCCCCGCAGTAGCAAGCAGGTGGCAGAGCAGACCTGCTGGGTGGCTTCTCCAAGCCGCTTCTCTGGACCTGCGAGGGAAGCAGAGGCCCAGGCTCAGAGGCAGTCTTGTGTCAGTGAGACAAATCGCTAGACCTTCTGCCACCAGAGGCCACCTGCTGCCCCAGCCCCCGCCCAGAAGGGAGGTGACCCCGCCCAGCTCTCCTGAGCGAGCCAAGCACCCCGGGAAGGCACTTGGGACGTCCTTAGGAGGGACTCAGGGGCCAAGAGGTCCCTCATCTCGACCCCTAGAGGTTGTCCAGATGTTGTCATGCAGAATGGGGCCCCAGAGTTGTGGCTGTTCCCCAGTGTATTCTTAGCACCCAGTTCCCAGCCTCTACTCCCGCAGTACAACCGGCCACAGTCCTTGGGCGCCGCCTGGCGGCAACAGCCAATGCCATCTCCCGTCTGAATCCTACCATTCCTGAGATCCTCTCTGGGACCCAGGTGTGCGGGCCAAGGGGAGGAAGTGATCATCACTGCTTGTGCTTGCTCTTCGACGCTCACTGCACACCGTTACCAACGACACGGAGCACATTTACCAGCATCTGACTCATCAAAAATGGGGAATGTCAAGCATTGGGGTAGAACCAGCGGTCCCAGGGAGCCCCAGACTTCCTGCAGTCTTAAGCGAGAGGTGTCTGATAACACATCCTCGCAGGGGAACCGTGCTGTTCTTCCCCAGCGGGCTCCTGCCTGCCAGCTGAGCCGCACAGCACCTCTGGGTGCCTGGGGGATGCTGGTCCCTGTACTCCCGGGCAGGAGCCCCAGTGGAGCGCGCCCTCCGCCGCTGCTCCGAGCCCCAGCGCCCCCTGCTGGCACCTGCCTATCCCAGAGCCTTTCTTGTCCAAACTATGGTGTCCCTCCAAAGCGTTAGATCTCTGCTTCGCGCGTAAGTATTCACAAGCCCCTCGCTCAGGGGAGATTTCAATTCCTGGCTCCTGGCTGCTGTCTCCTGCACGTCTAGTCCCATCCATCCTTGGAGACCTCGGTGAGGCTGCGCTCCGTTTGCCTGTGCCACCTTCCACCCCGCACCCCCCAGCCTCTCCGCTTCCTGCCTCCCACATCTGCTCTGCCTCCCCGCCTACCCTGACCTTAAGGGCTCTCCCATTCCCACGGACCCCCCTCGAGGGTTTGTTCTCATCTGGCTGAAGTCTCAGTCAGGCTCCGTAGGCTTGATCTCACCTCCAGCTTCACTGCTGCTTATGTCTCCTGTGGGCCAGGCTAGCACCCGGGCCCTGGTCCTAGGAGGCTGGCCACCTGCTGTAGAGGCTACATGTGACCCGAGAAAAGTGGCTTCTGCCCCAGGCTAGTCTCACTTTGTTCCAGACTCTGGACCTCAGGGGGGCCTCCATAGTGCCCCCCAACTCCTCTCCTGCAAGCCTACCCCCTCCCCAGCCTCTCGCTAACCACCTTGCTTCCTATCTCACAGGACCCTGCCAACCCACCCTCCCAGCCCCCACCCAGGGCTGGCCACGTGTGTCTGCAACCAGCCCTCCCCTGGCCATGGCTCCTAAACCTCCTTGGCTACTCAAGAAGTCCTAGTCAGGTGGGGTGCCACCACCTGTAATCCCAGCAGGTGAAGTAGAAGGATTGGAAAGTTTGACCCCAGGCTGGGCACCTTAGCGAGATCTTATATCAAAAGTTGGTGGTGGCGGGGGCTGAGGAAGTAGCTCAGTGTAAAGCCGTGTATTCAAACCCCAGTGCTGAGGGGGGAAAATCTGTCAATTGCTTTTCCCCTTCTCCCTGACACTTTCTTTTCTGTGCTGGGTGGGCCCTATCAGCCCTACCAGTGTGCTGTCATTTCCCACCCTAAAACACATGCACCCTGGGCTTCCTCCAGAGACTGCAGTGGAGCTCTTCCCTGAGCCCCCAGCCCTGTGCTGTTGATGTCAAACAGACCTGTGGCTCAGTGGGTGCCTAACTGGACCTCTGACCTCACCCCATGCCTTCAGTTATGACAAAGCTGGTCCCAGACCCCACCTCCACGGCTGGCCCGTCGGGAAGTGCTCTTGGCAGTACCTTCCCTCCAGAAGCCAACCCCTGCTTGTCAGTCCCAGCCTCGGCCCTGCACCAGCCTCGCTGCCAGCTGCTCTCACCTGCACTATGGCAGGAGCCTCCTAACTTGTCAGCGGCTGCTGCTGTGTCCCCTTCCCCACTCAGCAGCCAGGACGATCCTGTTAAAATGAACATCACACTGCTCAGACTTGCCATAACTCCCTCAAGATAAACGTCAAAATTCTGACAGGACCCACAGGCCCTTTGTAATCCTCCAGCTCTAGCCACTCTCCCTCTCCCTCCCTCCTCTCCAACCACTTCTCTTTTATTCAAAGCACCACAGCAGGATCTGCCTCAGAGCCTTTGCACTGGCTGATCTGTCTGCTTGGAACCCTCTTTGCTCACATAGCCCTAAGGCAAGTTTCCATGGTAGACAGAATAATGGCCCCCAAAGATGTTCACATCCTATTCCAGGAACTTGTGATTATGTGACTACATGGCAAAAGGGATCTTGAGATGAGATTACTGTGGATTAACCAGGTAGGATGGGTGTAACCAGCCCTGAGAGAGGTGGGGGGGGCATTGTCAGAATGACACATCCAAGGTGTTATGCTGCTGACTTTGAGGAGGGAGGAAGGGGTCCAGGGCCAAGGAATGTGGGCACCTCTGGAAGTTAGAAAGGGCAGGAGGCCACCCTCCTAGGCTTTTTCCCCTGAAGGCCCCAGAAAGGGCAACATAGCCCTATGAACTTGACTCAGAGCTCAAAGGGACTTCTGACCTCCAGAACCATATGGTAATTCAGTTGCTTTAAGCCAATTGAGTTCACAGCAATTTGTTCCAGCAGCAGTGAGGCCGCACGTGAGCCCTGACCTCCGGTCTCTCCAGGGCCACTGCATGTACAGGGAGGCTTCTCTTGACTGTCAGAAGCTCGCCTGTCCTGCCTGCCTCCCTACCGCAAGCCAGGGCTCTTTGTCCTGCAGCACTTATGCCTTCACTGGTTCTGTCACTTCGTTTTATGCTCCCACTGGAGTATTAGCAGGGTAGGGCTATGCTTCACTGCTACACACGGTGCCTAGAACAGTGCCAAACCTAACACCTTCTGAGTGAGTTCACCACCTCTGGTAAGGCACCAGGATGTTTTATTTTTCTTTTCCTCTTGTCCAGGGGACTGAACCGAGGGCTTCTGCCCTGAGCTATATCCCCAGCTCTTTCTTTTTATTTTGAGACAAAGACTCACTAAGTCAGTAAATTGCCCAGGCTGGAGTCTAATTTGTGATCCTCCTACCTCGGCCTCCCAGAGTGCTGGGATTACAGGCATGAACCACCATACCCAGCTAGGATGTTAGTTTTTACCCTCCCTGATACACACGGGGGACTGATCCCACAGTGCAGGGTGTATCTGCATTCATGACCCCTGGCTGCCACTTCAAGCCTGCAGCTCTCTTTTCTTTTGGGTGCCTAGGCCCCAAGGCCCCATGGTCCCCAGGTCACTCTCCTTGTCACATGACACTGGAGCTGCTCATGTCTGTGCTCCTGGAGCTCAGCGTCCTCTCCAGAGCACTCCTGCCCTGTGCCCCTTCTCTGCAGTGTTGCCAATTTTTTTTTTTTTTTTTTGAGACAAGGTCTATGTAGTACACGCTGGCCTTGGACTCATTTACATAGCCTAGGCTGGCCTCAAACTCACGGCTATCCTCCTGCCTCAGCCTCCTGCAGTCCTGGGATTACAGGTGTGCACCACCACACCCAGCTGCACAGTCTATCTTGTAAGCTCTAGTTGAGGCTGCTGGTGACTTCCTCCTGGTGTCCATGTGAGCCCAAGTTGGAAGCCAGGGCCCCAGGAGTCTTCCAAGGCCCCAAACACTGCTGGCCAAAGGCCCTGCCAAGTTCACAGGCCTGATGTCTCCCTGGGAGGTGGGTGCCGCCACCTGCAGGGCTATGTGCTGTGTGGCCTCGGGGAGCTGCCTTCTGCCCGGAACATGCTTTTCTTAGGAAACCTGGTCATTCCCACCTCAGAGGTGGAGGGATCACTGAAGCGCTGTGCTGCTACTTATGGAAGGATGAAGAGACTAGTGGGGACCCCCAGCCCCATGGCTCCATCCTCGGCCTCAGCTCTAGGGCCGTCACCTCTGCTGGGGACCTTTCCCAGCCTCCCGATGCTTCATCCTATGCTACACAGTGGGGCTGCAAAGCCAGGCTCTCTCCCCATCCATAACCGCACTAACATGCCCACTGCAACCCTCAGAGCCAGCTGCAGGCCCGCAAGGCCCCGTCCACCCAGTGACCCCCCACCTTCACGGAGACCATGGCGCTCACTCAGTCCTGGTGTCTTCCTGGAGCTCGTCAGTTCTCCTTCCCAACCCCGCGCAGTCCTGCTGGTCTGTCCCCACTCACCCGAGCCCCCCGCCTCACCCTACACGTGGCCTAGAGCCAGGGACCTTCCTGCTGAACTCAGAAGCCACCTGTTCTTTAAAATGTGTTTATTTTAAAACATGAAACCCAAGCTGAATAGAAACCACAGAAATTACATCGACGAGATTTTTAGTATTTGCCAAGAAAAATAAAGTCCCCCAAAAGAAATAAAGATCAAACCCAAAACCCAGTTTTAAAAAACAAAAACACAGCGACAGGACACACAGCCACGGGCCTACAGAGGCTGAGGGGTGTGGGCCCGGTGCAGCTTGGGTGTTAATGCACACGGGGTAAGATGCACGAGGGCGGCGGGGAGGGAGCGCTTAACAAAATCATATATATAACAAATAGGGCAGGTGCGCAAGCATCATGGCTAAACGAAGATTCCCACACAAAAGGCCCTGGTCTCTGGGGCCCGGGGCTGCCAACTCATCCGCCTCCGGGCTGCGCAGAGCTAGGACCTGGGTAGGGGGGTCAACGGGAGGGACCTGGAATTGCATAGTGAGATGGGGTGGTGTCAGAAGAAGGGTCGGGGTGCTCCCAGCCAGGCCCTCCCACTACCCCACCTCAACTCACTTGGGAGGGCTGGGGCTGGATGCCGGCAGGGGAAACCCATCACTGTGTCCGCTGCCCCTGCTGGACCCTCCTGGGGGCCTGGTAGGGCCCTGGGATCAGGCGGCGGCCAAGCCTCCGTGGACTCCTTCTCCCCACGTGGCCAAGCCTCACCCATGCTCCAGAGCCCAGGAGGGCTGAGTGGGAGTGGCAGGTGCCTCTAGCCTGACACCACAGGAGGTGCAGTGATGTGGCTGGGCAGGGTGGTCATGAAAGGGGCACCAAAACTCAGAACAGAAAGAAAACCAAGGGCAGGAGCCGCTGAAATTGGGGTGTGAACCCCTCAATTTCTTCCCCTTTCCTTTCTTCAGCCTCAGTGGGTGAAGAGTCACAGACAGAGCACGCATGTGAGCGTGCACACACATACACACACACACGCACACACACACGATGGCAGGACTCCCAAGATAACATAGGTTCATGGCCGTATCTGGGCAGCGCCTGCCTCTCATGCTATGTACATTCACCTTGTGAGTGGCTCTTGGCCGCTGGCAGCGCTTGTGCTTCTGAGCGGGTCCTGGAGCACACGGCAGGCACTGCCCTCCAGACCCGCGGCCAGGAACGCGCCTGCAGCAGGCCGAGTAGCCTGGCTGTGGCCAGCCTCAGTGGCTCCCCCCACTTAGAGCAGGACAGTCCCTTCCATGAAGTTTGATCACACCAGAGGCTCAAATACACAGGCCGGGGGCCCCAGGTCTGCTACCTCCCCTGCCCATCCCCTTTTGGTCCCACACACCAGCACGAAGAAGGGTTTTTGGAGGAAGGGCAGGTGAAGGTCACCCTGGGAGGGGGTAATTCTGGGTAGGCAACTGCCTGCTGCTCCAGGAGGGAGAGCCACGGGTCTGCCTGGCCCTGCCACGCTGGCCAACGGCCTCTGGCCACCCTGGTCACATATGGCCATAGACCGAACCAGACTACACCATGTCAACTGGTTGGGCCAGAGCTGGAGCCAACAGGGGCAGAACCTCAAGGTCCTAATTTGGGGGCTGGTTCTATACCCCCCAATGGCAGGAAGCACAGCAAACATCGTACACCAAAGCCAAAAGCACCATCGGGAAGCCTTGTTCCCGCTTCACAGGGAGGAGACTGAAGTCATGACAACCTGAGCCCAAGGCCCCGAGGACGTGGTCCTCCTAGGCAGCACCTGCCCGGAAGGGGAGGGGTCTCCAGGCCCTTCGGGCTGCCTGTCCATCTGCAGCCTGTCCCCAGCAGCACCCCATGAAGAAACTGCTACTCCAGCCCTGGCTCCAGCTGGCCATCCTGGGCCTCGGCTCCGGGCTGGACTTGGGTCACACTCGCTGGCTCTGGGTGGCCAGGGGCGCCCATGGAGGCTGGGAGTGAGGTTAGTGGTTAGTCCCAAGAAGGGCAGCAAGGGCTGGGTGCACATTCACAGCTGGCTCAGGCCCAGCCCGAGGCTGGGCTCCAGGGACACTGCATCTGTCCTGGGTGGAATGGAACCAAGGGAGGGCCGGGGCAGCAGTGCAGCTCAGCGGCCGCCCCAGCCTGCCCTAGAGATGACAAACATGGTTAGTGCAAAAAACAAACCGGATGAAGCTGCCAAGTCTTTGGGGTGGGAGGAGGGGGTTTGGCACCAAGAAGGTGGCCAGCACTGGGAGGCCAGCGAGTGACCGGGCTCTGTGTCGCACCTGCTGTCCATGGAGGGATGGGTGCCTTGGGGAGGGTGAGCACTGGGGACGAAGCAATGCTGGGCAGGAGGCAGAGGAAACACCTCCTTGGAGCGAGGCTCTGGGCGATGGCGGGAGGTGAGGCGGTAGTCAGGGCAGCTGCGTGGATGAGAGGGCAGGTGCCTGCTGCTGTAGAGAGACAGGCGTGTGGAGGGTCCCTACGTGCGGAGACCATCTGTCCCTCTGCGGCCAGCGACACCAGGCAGAGGGGCTGCTGCTCTGCCTGTGAACTAGGAAGTGATCCACGGAAGCAAGGGTGGGGGCGGCAGGAAGAGCTCAGCACCGTGGAAGGGAAGGGGTGGGGGTGCGGCCGAGGAGTGCGGCAGGCAGTCGGGAGGGCCATCTGCGGAGGGAGCAGGTCAGGACAGGGGCTCCTGGCACACAGCAGGGCTTGGTGAGTGTGAGGGGACAGTGAGATGTGGGAAGCAGGTGGCCAGGCAAGGCCAGGGTGGCAGCAGTGTCTGTCCAGATGGATGACCAGGCTGGGGCAGGCATCTCCAGCCCCCTGCATGGGGAGAGGAGGGGGAAGGGGCTGCAGAGGGACCAGGCTGGCGTTCGGAGGGTCCAGCGGGCAGCCGCAGGGCAGAAGCAGCAGTGCTGGCCTGGGGGGGGGATGATTGGCACATGGGGCAGGTGGCTGGTCGGTGCGCAGTCTAGTGCCCGCTGCTGCTGGAGTCAGGGCGAGGCTGGCTCGTGGCGAGGTATTTGGCTCTCATGCTGGAGGAATACTGGAGGAGAGAGGGAAGGAGGGTCAGCAAGGGGCCAGGCAGGGCCAGGCCAGCCAGCGGCCTCCTCAGGGTGATCCTTGGTGGAGTGAGCCAGAGCCAGCCTTTGGTAGGCAGTCAGACAGCACGGGGCACAGCTGGCAGAGCCCCATAGGGAGGGGGCTGGGGAAGGAGCAGTGGCCCAGGCTCCGGGTGGCGGGAGGACTGGGTGCAGCTAAGGGGGCAGTGGTCCCTCATGGGCCGAAGTTGGCCTTGACTCCACACCCTAGACCACTCCCCACTCCCCACTCCCGATTAGATGAGCACATTCAGTTTCTTCTCCCCTTTGCTGGCATTTGGGTATCCATCAGAGCCTTAACACCCCTAAGAGCCGTAACTACCCCTCCTGCCCAGAACCTGGAAGCCACATGCAGGCTGCCTGCCTAGTGTGCTAAGGCCCAGGCCTCTACCTCAAAGCTCTGTCCGGAGCCAGGCTGGGTCCTCTGGAGGCCAGGCCATGCCACAAGTCACAACCAGAGCCCATAGGAGTGAGGTCGCCCTGGCCTCCTGCCCTGCTACTCAGGGCCACAGCCCTCTGCCCCGTCACGCCCAGCTGCAGTGCTGTTGCCACCTGCTCGGGTCAGGGAGAGGACTAACTGCAGGGCCGTCCTAGGCCTCACATTCAGGGAGAGGTGACAGGTGGGGACCCCACCCCGCCTGGCCCTGCAGACGGGCCATACCTCTTTGCCACCCTCACCCAACTGAGTATGAAGGCTTTGAGCGGTGCACGTGTGTGCGAGAAAGCGTGGGGCCTGTGTGTGCTCACGGGGAGCATGCACACAAAGCATGTGCCAAGGCCAGGCAGTGTGCAAGTGGCTCACATGCCCACGATGGGGCCGAAGGCCAAGGCTGTGCCAAAGGTCGCCAGTGGCACGGAGGCCTGGCAGGCTGATCCTGCTGGCCCCAGGTAGGCTCCTGCAAGCCCAGGGACCCCACACTGGTCCCCACAGCCCCCAGACCCAGAGGGACAGTGCTCCTGGGGTTCCCCGAGGCCTTCCCAGAATGCCTAGAAGGTTGCGAACAGCCATGAGGTGGCCATGGAGTGGGCAGGAGGAGCAGCAGCACCAGGAGCCATGTCATTCCATGGGCATGCAGCAGAGATGGCAGGGAGCAGCCAGACCCTGGAGGAGCCCCCGAGGCGCCCGCACTGCCACGTGGAACAGTGGGGCCCTGTGTGCACACCCGTGCCAGCTGACATGCAGGGCCGTGATGGGGCCAGGCACTAGGCAAGGGTCTGGGTGCATAGTTCCCTCACTGAGAGGTGACAAGAGGGGCTGGGCCCCTTGTGCTGATGGCAGAGTCCTTAGAGGCTGGGGACGTGGGATCAGGCTCGCTGCCCCTGCTGCGAGACAGGCGGACTGAGGACCAGTCGGTGCCTCTGTGGCGGGGCTGTGCACTCAGCGTGGCACTGGGACAGGGCCCGAGGCCAGCGCTGGGAGAAGGCGGTAGTGAGAGGTGGGTAGGAGGAGGCATGGAGGCGCAGGCGGGTGCCGTGCAGGTGGGGACCGGCCGGGTCAGTACCTGTCACTCTGAGGGCACAGCTACCACAGCGTTCGGGCACTGTCCAAGGGCTTAAACTGCCAGCCTGCGTGGCTGCCAGAGTCCAGGGCAGCCAGATAGCGCTAGGAGGGCCCGGGGTGGGAGGGGTGCAGGAGAGAGAGAGAGAGAGGGGGCGTCCTCAACGCCAGGGCGTGGCCAGCCCCGAGGGGGCTGTGGAGCCAGTTGGGCCTAGGGGTCAGCAGCTCGGGATGGCCTCTGGGCCTTACAGACTCCATCCAGGCAGCCCAGGTCCAACTCGGCCATGAGACGACAGGACAGCAGGGGGATTTCTCAAGCAAGGCGGCTTCAGCCTCTTGGCCAGGCCCCATGGCCCAGCCCCCTAGGAAGCCTGGGGCTCGGAGCTTGGCACCGGCTCCTCTCTCACCGCAAGCCTACCCTGTCCACTCCTGTCCATGTCTCTCACCCTCAAGGCCAGAGAGGACACCAGGCCCAGGCTGGAAGAGCCAGAGACTGAGACACAGGTGGAGGCTTGGGAAGGAGCAAGGAAGGAAAGAAGGGAGGAAAGGTCACTCCTTGGGAGGTGGGGAGACAGTGCCAGGCCCCACACAGTGAAGCGTGAAGGTCACTGACCCCAGGGCACCCACATACTGGCATATTGGAGAGGTCCTGGCTGGGAAGCCCCCGCATGGCACTAGAAGTTCACAGCCACCCCACGGCCCATGCTGTCCATGGGAGTCACACCACAGCACGAAAGTGGCGGGGCAGCGCAGCCCTTGGAGGCCGAGGGTCCCTCCCACCCATCCTCCCCAGAGACTTACTGAGGGCGGTGGGGACTCGCGTCCAATGAGGGGCGTGTTCTCACAGCGGGGATTCTGGAAATTGGCATTCTGGCTCCTGAGGGAGAGAGAGGCTATAAGGGACAGCAGTCCCGCGAGGGCTCATCTCTTATGCAGGCAGACCCCATGCCTAGCCGGCTCTGCCTAGCACCCATCTTTGATGCTGACCTCCACGGCGGACTGCTGGGTTCTCACCTGTCACCTACCTGTCACCCATCACCTCTACCTGGCCAGAGCCCACCTCCCACCAGGCTGCCTACCCACCACGTAGCTAGGCCCTCCATCTGACCATGTAGTCCCCCACTGCCCCTCCACCATGTTAACCCAGGGGCAGGGGGTTCTCAATGCCCTGAAGTCTGAGGGCTGCCTGAGATGCAGTCCCTTTCCCCTCCTGTGGGCCCAGCCTGCACCGCGACCCTCCCCTCTGTTTAGGGAGTCCCAGGCTGTATCGGTGCAGCTGCTGACCTGCCCATGGGCTCCCGGAGCCAGGAGGCCTTGGCCCTGCCTGTCTCCTGGGGCTGGCCCCAGCTGCTGTTTGTGACTCACATGTACTCGGTGACCGGGGCGTTGCTGACTGTGTGGGCCGCGGCCGGGATGCTGGTCTCACTGCCATAGCTGCTGCCACAACTGTATAAACTGGGCATGTGCACACGGTAAAGGCTGTCGTGCACCTGCCGCGGCCCTGGGGCCACCTCCTCTTCGCCATCTTCATCAGGGCCCCTGCAGGAAGGGTCATGTGACACTCAGGACAGCATGGGGGAACCAGCATGCAGCCTGCAGGTGGCTCTGGGGCGGACCAGCTTCCGGTCCCGCTGGGCCCCGTGCACACTGTGCACTGTGCCCGTCACCCAGGTCTGAGTCTCAATTTTGTCCTCTAGGGTTGGGCACTCAGAAACCACAAAGTCTCCTGCATACCACACCTCATGTGCAGCCCGCACAGGTTAGCAATGGCCGTCTGCTTATTAAAAGAGGAGCATAATCCCCTCCTGAGAACAGCATAAGGCCAGGTGCTCTGCTGTCTCACAGGGCCGGTCTGCACCACCACATAGCCTGAGCTGGTATTCCTTGCCTTGCTGCCCTCTGGCTTTCTGTCCCACACTCCACACAGTGCTTGTAGGGCGAGCTAGGATGCCTGGGCCAGGCCACTGCTGCTCTGGAGCTCCTCCACGCCCTGCCTGTTCCAGATGGGACATAGGCCTGGGCTGCTGGACAGTGAGCACTTCAGAAGAGAGACAGAGGCAGCTGCTGGCTGAGCAGTGACCACCAGCTAAGCCCCAGGGCACGGTCCACAGACACCGTGGCTGGTCTGCCATCATTCAACTCTTGAAGTGTGGCTTTCTACCACTCCTTGTTCACTGCAAGGGACACTGAGGCCCAGGACAGTTAAGAGTCCCAAAAATTGTCCATGACTCCAAGGATGGAGTTAGGATCTGAACACAGCCGTGTGGTTCAAGTGCTACACTCTTAACCATTCCACTGGAGCTGCTGTCTTTATTAGCACAGCCACCATCACCACCGGCATTACCACATCATTGCCATTCCATTACCATCACTGTAACCACTTCACACTGTTGACACCCACACCTCCATCACCATCATTAACACCACCATCAACATAATTATCACTGCCATAGCATCACCATCATTGTCACCACCTTACCATCAACACCATGCCCATCACCTGTCACCATCGCTACCATGATGACCAGCACCACCAACACCATCAGCATCACCACCTGCATCATCATCAACACCAAGACCATCATGACCACCATCATTACCAAATCACCATCATCAGCACCATCATTACCACCACCATCACCATATACCATCATTACCATCACCAGTATCACTGCCACCACTACCATCATCACCATCATCACTATCATTACCATCACCAGTATCACTGCCATCACTACCGTCACCACCATCATCACCACCATCATCACCATCACCAGTATCACTGTCATCACTACCATTACCACCATCATCACCATCATTACCATCACCAGTATCACTGTCATTACTATCACCACCACCATCACCACCATCATCACCATCATTACCATCACCAGTATCACTGCCATCACTACCATCACCACCATCATCACCACCATCACCATCATTACCATCACCAGTATCACTG